GAAAAAATATTACCCAAAATTTGAGTTCTTTTTACTTAATATTGACTTCAGCCTTTCACTTGCACTCGTTATTGTTGTCAAAAAAGGAACGAGAGATTCGACCCAACGATATAGTTCAGCCCAATAAGTTACTTTTGAGTAAATTGCATATTCTCAAATTTACTTCAATTAAACTTAATTTTGTGTAGAATATACTTAAGAGTAGGTATTTTTTTTGCTGGTGTTAAATGGAAACTACTATATGCGATTTACTCAAATTTGGGTTATTGGGCTGAACCCCGGAATTGAGGGAAAAGTACTTAATTTTGAGTAGTTTTTCATCTCCGTGTAGACCTTTTTGACGTTTAATCATCTTTCTCTATTTAGCACACATGGATGAATGGACGGTTTGTTTTCCCATTAATCTGTTTCCCTCTTGCTCGCACTCGTTCGCTTTAAATGGTTCGCCGATTAAACGTCAAAAAGCTCTACACGCTATTTCAAAACTACCCAAATTTGGGTAGAATCCACCCAGACCGTCAAAACTGAACCTACCCAAAAATTTGGGTAGAATCCACCCAGATCCGTCAAAACTGAACCTACCCAAAAATGGGTAAACTGTGTTGGGAGTAACAAGTTGACAAATGAACAACGTCGATCGGATTGATGTCAATGTTGTTCATTTGTCAACTTGTCACTCCCAACACAGTTTACCCATTTTTGGGCAGGTTCAGTTTTGACGGATCTGGGTGGATTCTACCCAAATATGGGTAGTTTTGAAATAGCGTGTACACGGTAAGAAAAAAGTACCCAACGGCCAGTTCACTTTTACCTACTTTTGACTAGTTTGTCTCCTTTTCTCCTTCTAATGTTGTCAAAAACGGAGGAGCGAAACCACCCAACAGGGGTAGTAAAGTGTGGGAACCCAACGTTGAGTATAATCATATTTACACACTGTTGGGTACAACTAACATACTTTTGGTTAAAAAGCCAGTGGAAAATTCCATGCGAACTGCACACAAGTAAATAAAAATACTTTGACCCGCTTTATCTACTTTTGGATTCTTGCACTATAGTGTCGAGATGAGTGAAAAGAACTTAATTTTGTGTACTTTTTTCTAACATTTGATAACGGCACAAAAGCATTTGTAAACAAACCTTCTTAAGCCCTTTACACGCGAACCAAAGTACGCCCACGCAAACCAACAACATCATCGCATATGGGCAACTATCACCTTTCCGTAAGTGGTATTGGTTTGCGTGGGCGTACTTTAGTTCGCGTGTAAAGGGCCTTAGAATGTTTGTTTGCAAATGCTTTTGTGCCGTTATCAAATGTTATGCCTGATTTTATGAGACGTTTCTGGTTCAACTCCCCGCATAAACGCGAACCATAAATTGACCTTACCTAAAATGGTTAAAAATTGTTTATAATCCCTGCTAAACTTTAACTGAAATGGTTATGGAACTTTACATGAACGTTTAATGATAAAGTTTCAACCTTATGTAATATGGTTTTTTGGAACTGGACCTTACAAATAATGGGTTGTTAAGAACCATTACCGTTCCAAATTCTTGTTTTCTCCATACATTTTCGGAAAGAAAACTATATTAGAACCTTTTAACTTATGGTTTGAGAACTTTAATGGTAATGGTTATGGTAATCAGTAAGGTCCACGAATGGTTTTGTAACATCGATCAACTTTATGTAGAATATATCGCGAATTGGTTGCCTGTAATTTACTGATTACCAATTCACGATATATTCCACGTAAAGTTGAGCGATAATACAAAACCATTAATGGACCTTACTGACTTCCATAACCATTACCATTAATGTTCTCAAATCATAAGTAAAAACGTTCTTATATAGTTCTCTTTCTGAAAATGTATGGAGAAAACAAGAATTTGGAATGGTAATGGTTCTTAACAACCCATTATTTGTAAGGTCCAATTCCAAAAAACCATAATACATAAGGTTGAAACTTTATCATTAAACGTTCATGTAAAGTTCCATAACCATTTCAGTTAAAGTTTAGCAGGGATTATAAACAATTTTTAACCATTTTAGGTAAGGTCAATTTATGGTTCGCGTTTATGCGGGTCATGAATGAACTTTGACAGGAGGCGGTTACCTAACGGCTGTGAGAAGCAATATCAATATCATCAAATTCTGGCAGGCAAACCAGCTCCTGTCATTTCATAAAATGGACTATTTTTCTGAACATCCTACACTCTAAGCTATGATTACCTTAAATTATAGGTAAACAATTATCGGTATTTTTTACTGATAATCGTTACTTTTTGCTTTTAATTTGCTATTTTTTTTATTATAAATTAGGACATTTTAAACGTTATTTTTGGGTTATCAATGACTACCTATAATTTAGGTATTCGCACTTTCTTCGATTATCGGTAATTTTTACCGATTTCTATGTATTCATTACCGACTTTTAGGTATGTGCATCTTAGTTTGTACATCTGATAATCTGAACGTAACCTCGAGCAAGGCTCATCAGCCATATAGACTAAAGCCCTACAGTAAAAGTATGGACGTCTGTCAAAAGTTGTTCCAATCGAACCGTCAAAATGCACCGCTTTGCTCGATTGGAACAGCTTTTTTCAGTTTTGTGGTGACAGTCGTCCATACTTTTACTGTAGGGCTTTAATATAGACCTATTTGACGTTTAATCGTCTTTCTCTATCTAGCACACATGGATGAATGCACGGTTTGTTTTCCCACTAATCTGTTTCCCTCTTGCTCACACTTGTTCGATTTAAATGGTGCAGTAGTGTGCGTCGATTAAACATCAAAAAGCTCTATACATATGAGACAATTGTGATTTCAAAATAGAATCTGGGAAGCAGTACTACACTCTAAACTAATTTTTAGTGACGACTTTCCCCATGATTATTATGTGACCTCAGGGACAGTGACAGCATTCGGAAAAGCTCCTGAATTACACACTTAATCTAGCTCGGTAAAATCTACAACAGCCGATTACCTCGGCATTTACTTTTGCTGATATCTCTGAAAAATATCTGTTCGTTGGCCGATATCTCAGCAAAATGTTATGTTTCTGAGTCTCAGCAATTGGGTTGTTTATGGGTATTGAGGTAAACACATATTCGTTATCTGCATTAAAAATGGAACCGAAATTCAGAATTTCATCAATTTTGGTACACTGGAACTATTTTAAATAAGTACGATTACATTAGCAAAAATCACCACCTTAGCGCCCCTTGGTGGGACTTTGTATGGGAGCGAGCTGTCAACGAATAGATTTAGTGTCAACGATCGAAAATTTAAATTTTGATTTAAAAATCGAGATGAATGTCTCCGGGATCGATAAAAATATCGTTGTGCTCAGAAAACGAAGCTTTATCAGATGATGTATAAAAATCGATATATTTTTCGAAGCTAAACAACCCAATTGTTTTACTGAATCTCAGCAAAATAAATTCAGTGTCAACATTTCAAAGGGGCGTAATTGCATTTGTAAACAATGGCTTTAGCCGTCGATTTCTCGCGAATAAAAGCTCACTCATGAAAAATAATGACACCAGCAGGTAGAGGAATGTTTTCTCTACCAGCTAGCATTGTTATTTGGGAGAGGTAGGATTTCATTCGCGAGAAATTGACGGCTGAAGTCATTGTTTACAAAAGCAATTACGCCCCTTTGAAATGTTGGCACTGAATTGCAGAATTACTCGGTTGTTGGAACCTCGGTGAAAAAATTTAGGTGTGTAGCGTTGTACTAATTTTGTTCCATGTACATATGAGTACCTCAATTAATGATTAGTTCATAATAAGGAAAGTTATCCTTTGGTTAATGGAACAAATCATGGTGGAAATATACATTATAATATAATAAGTTATTAACGAAAGAGAAAGTCGACGAAGAGAATCGATCAATGTTTCTTAGGACCTAATGCAATGTTCAGCTTGATATGTTTGATTTGGTGTGAAATACGCATTATTGAGATTTTCACGTCCGGTTGTATTGGTGCGATATGTGAGAGCGTGTTATAGCGAATTCGTTTATTATTCAGTTCCAACCTGGATCGGGTATCAAGATTTGGTCTGCTTGTTTTCTGACAAACGTCAGTTTGATCGTTTGTTTTTAAAACCCAGCTCAGGTTGAGGTTCGCACTGACAAAAAGTTCGGTTTCGCACTGGGTTGGAACTGGTTCCAACCCCGATAATAAACGAATTCGCTATAGAGATCTCCAAGCGCAATCTAACGAACACTAAAATCCAACATCCATACATAAAAATAAAGAAGAAGAAGAAACAAAAAGGTATCGCGATATCACAACTACTTAAAAAGGTAGCGCGCGGTATCACGCACACTTTTGTGCATCTGGAGAACTCTATTAGTGAATATCCGAGGAAAATACGTAACAAATCGATGTCAAACTCATTTTGACAGGTCTACTTTCATACGTTTTTTGGTTAGCCAGAGGAACATAATAAACAACTTTACACGGCATTGCTTTCGCTAGTGTGCGTGCGTTAAACGTCACTAATCTCTATACACACTTTTATACATTTTTAGAACAGTCCAGTTTTAGTTGCAACCCTAATAAAATTGTTATAGTTATTTTGCTTAACGACGTGTTCTGGGTATCATCCAAACCATTTATTGAACAGTTCAATCATTTGGGTTATCATTCGTTTATGGTATTTTTTTAATTAGGAAATACTCATTTATCGGTCAAGTATTACTCATTTTATGGGTTAGTCCCTCCCTCAAAATGCATTCTTTTTAGTCATTATGGAGTATTTTGCGGTTACCGTGTACATGCTCATCGTAAAGCCCTACAGTAAAAGTATGGACGTCTGTCAAAAGTTGTTCCAATCGAACCGTCAAAATGCACCGCTTTGCTCGATTGGAACAGCTTTTTTCAGTTTTGTGGTGACAGTCGTCCATACTTTTACTGTAGGGCTTTAGCTCATCGGGGTAAGAATGAAAAGGCCTTTTGAAGGCATTTGACAGTTGACTTGTAAATTAAATTGAATATTCGCGCTTCGTTTTCGTCGCATAAAATCGTAAAAAAACTTCATGTGAATTTTGCCTCGAATTAATCGAATTTATCCACCATGAGCTCACCCGTGCGCCTCGCATCGTTTTGCCGTCTTTGTTTGTCGAAAACTAAAGATAAAGTGCCGGTTTTTACCAATGGAAATATACTGGAAAATCTTTTGCATTTGATTGAGATGCAGGTAACCTTGTTTGATTTGGCATCTTTAGTCGAGTGATTATGGTAATTATATTCCAGATTGATCCGGATGATGAACCGGACGCAGTCGTGTGCTATGACTGCGTTGTAACTTTGGAGGGATTCCATCAGTTCAAAGAGCAGTGTCATGTGAATGATGAGTTCGTTAAGACTGTTCCGCCCAAACTGGAGTGTTCGGCATCGTCAGCAGAGATGGAGGAGGAGGAGGATGAAGAAGATAATCGAGAAGGAGGGGTTTTGGAAGAAAACGAACTCGAAGAGGAAGATCGCTTGGAACTTAGCGAAGCCGAAGAGGTATTTCAAGAAAGGCCGCGCCGGTCAGTGAAATTCAATAAGAAGAAGACACCCGTAAAAAGTCCTAAGAAGCGTCCTATCCAAAAACCTGTAAAACAGCGTATTGTACAAGCTTCTACAAGCAAACGGGAAGAAAAGCAAGCGGAAAGGTCACATAAAAAAGCCTCACTAGACGAACTACAAGTATTGGCAGAGTCGTACCCAGATTTCTTTTACTTCGAGAAGGGTCCTCGCTCAATTTACTACACGATAGTGTTCTACGGAGAACGTTTCAATTCAGCGCTCTTCACCGAGCGCAGCACCTACTGGCAGTGCATTCATCGGAGAAAATATCAATGCCCTGCTCAAGTTTGGGTGACTAATGATTATAAGACGTTCGAGCGACGGTACGAACATACTCATGGCCAGCTACCCGAGAAAGAGGGACAAGCTTTTACGCCACATGAGGCCCTTCCTGTAATGTTCCAGATTTGTAAGAGAATTGTTCAACAGGTAAATAACTAATACAACATAGTATTTAAAGGTTGGTTCAATGGAAACTGAATTTAATTTCAGAAACGAGCAAAAAACGTGAAGCAGGAGGTGAGCTTCGAAGATAAATTTCAGGAGTTCGCTGCAGATACATTGGCGAAAGAGGATGATGAAGATGAACCTGCCAGCCCAACAAACGAGTCAAAATCACCACTAACTGTAGATGATTTAGATTCAGACGAAGAAGCGGAGGTTGTTACCGGTTTAAGACCAAAAAGGAAAATAAAACCAAACGCTCGCTATGCCGTAGGAGAAAGTCAGCCAAAAAAGCGGTCGCTTGAACCAGAAACTAATCCGAAAAAGCAAACAAAAAGTGAACCGAAGAGACTTGAACCAGCCGGTAAGTCAGAAACGCGAGTAGTGAAGAAGCGCGAATGTAAAAAACGTGAACCGGAAATTCAAGAAATGGACGAAGGTGAGCTGGAAGACGAAGACGATACCATTGTAGAAGAAGATTTGGATCTGGATAAAATCGAGGAAGAATGCGAAGCCCTTAATGTCCCGAAAAAACCACCGATTGGCCCCCCGTTAGATGAACAACTTGTATTGGCCGACTCGTACCCTGACTACTTCTTCTTCGAGAAAGGTCCTCGTTCCGTGTACTTCACCTTGGTGTACTACGGTGAACGGTACCATTCGGCCTTGTTTACGGAACATTATACCTACTGGCAGTGTCGACATCGCCGGAAGTACAAATGCCCGGCTCAGGTGTGCGTCACAAACAATTATAAAACGTTCGAACGACGATACGAGCACACTCACCCGGATCTTCCGGATAAAGAAGGACAAGCGTTCACCCCGATGGAAGCCCTCCCGGAGCTATTCGAGGGCTGTCGAAAAGTGGTTCTCAAGGTAAGAGGAAGCAATAGAGTTCGTAATTTGCAATATAATTTCATATCGCGTTTTCAGAATCGGGCGAAGCGACGGAAGAAGTTGTTGGATAAGTATAAGTTTTTGCAAACAGTCAATCTGTCAACGTCGGAACAGCAAACCTCCAAGACAAAAGGCAAAGTAGAAACTGTTATAGAAGTAGAAGACGACGAAGACGAAGTTTATGATGAACCCATGGAAGAGGAAATCATGCTTAAAGACGTAGAATACGTCGAGGAGCTGCTAGAAGTGTCAGAAGATTAACGTTAAGCTGTGTAGACGTGTAGAATTATCTATCTTGAGTAAAATGTAGATGTAAGAGTAGATTTGATGTGGTAAACTACTATAATTTTTGTTCAGTAAATGTGGTTAAATTACTTGTTGCTTTTATAATTGCACCCAACAGGATCATGTTCGACACCTAATAGGAAAAAAAAAAGTTTAATATGGTACAGTTGGTCGGAACAAATGAACAAAACATTATTTTACTTATATCACACAACATTCAAATCTGGCGTAATAATAAAACATGAAATAAGGAGTTAAACTAAATCGTAAAAGTATATTTCAGCTGACTTGCATTATTTTTTAACATGGTATCTACGTGCATGCTTCTCAACCGACATTCAAATGCAGAAATTCAAATCAAATTTTCCGAACTTTCAAATGTGTTGGTAACTTAAAAAAATTTGAAAATTAGCAAATATGTTTAAGAAATCTCTAAATTCAGATAATTGCTTCAACTTCACGACTACAAATGGTTTCTAAATGTCTGGCTTGTAAAATATTCCAGACTCTTCCTATCAATACATGGAAAATCACTAAATATTTTTGGTTTAATCTCTTGCAATACAAATTGCATAAAAATGAAATGTAAAGGTTGATTTCTTACAAAAAATGTGTACAACAAATCGCACGAGCAAGTTTTTCCAGGATTAATATTTTAGTATGAAACCTTCACGATATGTTTTTCTAGCCCCAGTACATTTGGAGAAATAAAGATTGTTCGAGATTTTAGCTAACATAAAAATTAGAAAATTAATTACAAAACTTTCCGACGACCACATTACAGATTTTTATGCAAATCGGTAATTGCATCTTAAACGCTGTCCAGATTGGAGAGTTATAACATGTTTTTTTTTAATTCTTTATTAAAGAGATTTTAGCCTTAGGCTAGTTCATCTCTAAGTTATAACATGTTATAACGGTTGTCAAATAATTGCAACACAGAATCCAGAGTTATAACATGTTATAGCGCTATCTTGATGGTGGTTTCTGTGTTCAAGGCACGCCTACACAAACCAGCATATCAATCGGGTAGGAGAAGTCATCCTCTACTCGATGGTGATGTCGATTTACTAGGGAGAGCCATGATTTCCGAGAAATCATCGAGAGAAGTCATTGTTTACAAAAGCTGTTACGCCCTAATTCCAGCTCTATCTAGATTTGACAACCGTTATAACATGTTATAACTCTCCAGTCTGGACAGCGTTTAAGACCAGCAGGTCCCGAAGAAACGTGCTCAACTTTTTGGCTCAGCTCTAATACCATAAAGGTAACTCGTCTGACTCTGTAGTCTGAACGTTCTATTACCAACAATCAATACGAAACTATCGATTTTAAATTGGCTCACTACTTGACTAGCCTATTGGTCCCAAGCAAACGACTAACGTACCCCATTCTAGTCGAAATTATAGTACTACGCAATGTTTGTTTTGATTCTCTATGAAAGTTTGACAGATAAAATGAGGGGTTATTGGTTTTTCCTATGTTTCGAGGGGTGAATCGATTAGCTTGGGACCAGAGCTGAGCCAAAAAGTTGAGCACGTTATTTCGGAACCTTCTAGTCTTAGAGTTACCTCTATGCTAATAGGCTAGTCAAGTAGTGAGCCAATTTAAAATCGTTAGTTTCGTATTGATTGTTGTTATAACCCTGTAGTCTGAACGTACTATAAGGCCTCTGCTGTCCGAAGAAGTCGTCTCCACTCTACTCGATCCATGGCCACACTTCGCCAACCTCGTAGTATGCGAAGGGTCCGCAAGTCACCTTCTACTTAGCCGATCCACCTTGCCCGCTGCGCGCCTCTTCTTGTTCCTGTTGGGTCGCTTTCTAGAACCATTTTCACTGGGTCGTCGTGCGGCATTCTTACGACGTGCCCAGCCCACCGTAGTCACCCAATTTTTGCAATGTGGACGATGGATGGTTCTCCCAGCAGCTGGTGCAATTCGTGGTTCATTCGCCTCCTCCACGTTCCATCATCCTTCTGCACTCCACCGCAGATGGTACGCAACACCTTCCGTTCGAAAACACCAAGCATAGTCCAGGTCTCGTGGCCGTCTTGTAGACAGTCAACTTCGTGCGGCGGCGAATTTTATTCGACCGGAGCGTCCTCCGGAGTCCAAAGTAGGCACGATTCCCTGCCATAATGCGTCTTTGAATTTCTCTGCTGGTATCATTTTTGGCGGTCACCAGTGAGCCCAAATACACGAACTCATCGACCACCTCGATTTCGTCACAGTCACTCTAAACTCGGGGTGGGAGGCTAACATTGTCTTCCCTAGAACCTCTTCCTTTCATGTATTTTGTCTTTGATGCGTTGATGGCAAGTCCAATCCGCCTAGCTTCAGCCTTCAGTCTGATGTACGTTTCCGCCATCGTCTCAAAGTTCCGTGCCATGATGTCAATATCATCGGCGAAGCCAAGAAGCTGGATGGACTTCCTGAAGATCGTGCCACTCTCTTCTGATCACACCTTCTAACGCGATGTTGAATAGCAGACACGAAAGTCCATCACCCTGCCGTAACCCCCTTCGAGATTCAAAGGGACTCGAGAGTGTCCCCGATACTCGAACAACGCACATCACTCGATCCATCGTCGCCTTGACCAATCGTGTCAGTTTATCCGGAAATCCGTACTCGTGCATAATCTGCCATAGCTGATCTCGATCGATTGTGTCGTATACGGATTTGAAATCGATGAACAAATGATGTGTGGGCACGTTGTATTCGCGGCATTTCTGCAGAACCTGCCGAATCGCGAAAATTTGATCCGTGGTAGCACATCAGGCACCCATGAATCCCGCCCACGAACTCTCTTGCAAATGGTGACAGGCGGCGGCATAGAATTTGGGAGAGTACCTTGTAGGCGGCGCTCAGCAGTGTGATCGCGCGGTAGTTGCAGAAATCCAACTTGTCGCCCTTTTGGTAGATTGGGCATACGACACCTTCCATCCACTCCTCCGGTAGTATTTTAATAGCACACTTGGTAGTTGTACCTCGAGGTGTACCTATGAATTCCGGTGAAAATCTGACGTATGAGTGCTCATTGTAAGCTATTGTCTGAACATTACTACATAGATAATGCAACGTGAAAGCAAAGCGAACTTTTACTTTAGCGATTCCGCATTTTGGAGGAGTTCCGATATGAAAATATGCAAAATACAATATTGAATAAAACCCTCAATGTTGATTTCCAAATCATCGTGTATCGCAGCGCTGCCATTTATACAGATTTATCTGTATTATACAGATTTTTAAATCTTAATACAGACCCGATACAGAATACAGATTTATCACAGATTTTTAAATTACAATACAGATTTATACAGATTTTTATAAAATGCTTGAGAAAAAAAAATTCAAAATTTATAAAAACAAAATAACTTGCTCGATTTTATCAGCGTACCCCCTTCTATCCTAAATTAATTGTTGTGCTAAAAACCATATTTTTTGTAGTGGGATCTGCTCGCGGCGTTGCTGTTTCTTTTATGTTTCCGGTATACGGTAGTACATTAAAAATATCAAATAGTAATGAACTCGTGCACTTTTTTGCATTTAAAACTGCTTATCAGGAAGATAATGAATAGAAATTAAAATCTCCATACATTTTCAAACGGCTTCATATCACTCTTATAAATAAGTACGGACGATATCACAAATGGCGCAATTATATCCCGTATGGTTAGTACGATAGCCCGAAGAGGTGGTTAAGCACTTTTTATTGTTATTTTGTATGCACTGTATTTGTAAAACAACAAAACATGATTAATTAAAAAAAAATCGTCAATACAGAAAATACAGATTTTTTAATAGAGTGGATACAGATTTTTTATAAAACCACCTGGCAGCTCTGGTGTATCGTAAAGTACTAAACTTGCCACATGGGTAGAACTTTTTTTTTTTCGAGTCGTTTTGAGAGTACGCATGCACCCAATGAGTATATACAGTCGTTCAATTTTTGTTAAATGGTATTCGTGTAGTGCAAAATATATCAGAATTTTGTGAAGTACAATACCTTCCGTGACGTCAATCTCCACTTTTTTCATGTAAATTTTTTAGGAGTTTTTCGTCATCACCGATTGTTTACCTCTTTGTTGCTACTTATCCCAAGAAATACCCTCTTGTGTTAAACCTTCATATATTTCATTGGCATGCACCGGCAGTCAAGAGAAGAGAAGAGAAGAGCATCTGTCAAAAAATTATGTTTTTTTTTCGCGTCGCTCGTGCCCGTGCGTGCTATCAGTGCAAGTGCATAAACATAAAAGTTCGTGTAATGTGCATAAAAGTTAACGAGAGATAAAAAATTAAAATGCTGGTGTAATTTACGTGGTTGGTGTTAGTGATAATAATTACTGCATCTTGAAAAGAGTTTGCATTCCAGTGAACCAAATCATTGCGAAAAAAAACCGGCTAATCGTGAATTCAGTGCAGTGGTCAAGGGAAAACACTACCTCGGAGAATCAGTGAGCTTGTGCGTTGTGACCTCGACCGGGCGAGCGGAAACTAGGCAGTGGTCGAAAACTACTGGGAAAACTATTTTTAAAAGAGTTCGAAGCTGCGGGAGGAAATCATTCATTCTATTGTTTGAGTGTCCTTTCCCATTGGATTTATCAATAGTTTTTTATAATGTAAGTGAAACGTATAGCCTGACAAAAACGATATTTGCTCACCTACGCTTGCATGCAAGATGATAAGCATTTCTAGATAGAGCTGGAATTAAAGCGTAACAGCTTTTGTAAACAATGACTTCACTCGGCGATTTCTCGAAAGCCATGGCTCTCACTGAGGAAGACTTCCCCTAACCGATGGATATGTTTTGGATAGATTGGTTTGTGTAGGGGTGCAATGAATTCCTAGAAATCAACGGGAGAAGTCATTGTTTACAAACGCTGTTACGCCCTAATTCCAGCTCTACCTAGATTTCATTAGGGTGGTGTCAATACTGAAGGAATAAATAAGTTACCTTCTCAAACAATAAGTGCATGCAAATGCAAAAAGTGTGAAAAAGTACACGGTTCCGTCAAATTTATTGTGTGTCTTCGGAGCACTTATTGCTTAATAAAGATCAGTTCCAGGCCAAATAGGATCAAAAAATAAAAATTTAAGACTCGACTTACTTCGATTTGATGATGATGATGATGGTTCCACCTCTTACCCCTACAAAGGTTTGAGCTGGACGATTTATCTTTAAGATAATTAAATATGATATTTTAACCAGGTTTGCAAACAAAAACGAACTGGTTACAGTCACAGATATAAATTCCTTCTAGAGTTTAAAGTTGCTTCATAGCGATATAAATGTAAAAAAAAAACTTAGGCGTCCACCTCTTAGTTCGCCTTTTTGTCCACCTAAAACATTCATAAGTATAACAAATTACAAGCGATCAAAAGTTAATTAACAATCAATAAAGCATCCTATACACTTCCTATTTGCATGGAATGTTGCTTAATTATGTGTTATGGGCAATCATTCACAATGGTGTTTTGACATTTTTCTATAAATTATAGTGTTAAATCGTCACTTCTGATCGAAATGACGTCTGAGACAAAGTTGTTAAGAGTAAAGTAATTCTGGGAAAAATAAACATGGTATTTTTTTTACTAATAGCGAATTCGTTTATTATCGGGGTTAACACCAGTTCCAACCCAGTGCGAAACCGAACTTTTTGTCAGTGTGAACCTCAACCTGAGCTAGGTTTTAAAAACAAGCAGACCCAATTTTGAT